CACTCATGTACCCAAAACCCACACGAAAACGCGATTTCACTATCAAATCTCTGTAAGATGCTCTTTCCTGATGTGGAAATTACTAAGGGTCATTCAAGGACGTGTTACCTTGTTTGACTCTCTCTCTCACTCTCTCTGTCTCCCTTTCTCTTTTGTGCCTTCAGGATGGTCCCGGCCACGCGCGCCAGTTGATGCTCCAACAAATCTTCCAGCGGGCGCAGCTTCATCGCCTCCCATAGCAGCGGAATTGATCTTCAGGTTCTGAGCCCGCTTGCCCGCTTGCCTGTTCCTCTTGGTTCTCGAGGTCCTGACAAAAGCAGCAGGAAGTATCTGAGACTTTGTGGACATCCAGCGACGAGCGACGCCTGTGTCTTGAGTTTGTGAAGTAGGTCGAGAATTGTGGGGTCTTTCGACTTCTCCAAGGACTGGAGCCATCGCTCCAATACGCGGTAACCTGTGATGGACTGGTCCTGCAACTCCTGAAGCGAGTAGCGCTGCAGGGGCGCCAGGCCATCCAGGCTCACTTGGAAGAATTCGAAAGGGTTCCAGACATCGGCACCTGCGGCGATGATTTTTTTGCAGTAGGCTTCTGTCCAAGGATGTTCAGAAGACAGTAGCTTCTCAAGGCCAGGCCAAGCAGAAGGCCCGAAGGCATACAGCTGCCGAAAGACCTTGTCCACTTTCCTCAAAAAGATAATCTCAGTGTAGTTCCCGTTCCGTGCGGACGAGTAGAGTGTTTCAATAATCCGGTCATGGTCTGGAAAGAAGAGGCTAAGTTTCTCTGGGTAGGGGTTCTGCCGGTAGGTCTTCTTGAACTCCTCCAGAAGCTCGCGCGAACCAGGGCCAGCCAGGCTCTGCGCATACTCCAAGGCCGACGCCCGTCTGCTCAAACCCCTGTCCCTTTGCGTTGCCCCCTTCAGTCCAAGCGATTTCGTTGTAAAACATCTGCCCAACAGGCCCAAGGCCAAAGCGAAGCACAACCATCGAACGACACCTCGTCCTCGCCTGCTCCGCAAGTTGCTGCCCCACATGGCCAAGCACAATTGCCCCTTAAAAGCAACTTTACCCAACATGCTTACAACTTGTTTGCAGCGTCTTGACAACATTTTGACGGCATGTTGACAGCACCCACGTCTCATCTGCGAGACGTCTTCAGTGTCGCTTGCATGGCTTCTGCTGACATCTAGAGAAAGCCGCAGCACAGCTCCCAACTCTCGGCTCCATGAGTCTAGTGCAAAGCTCCATTTAGGGCATCTGGGACGGCAATGCTGTGGCTCTTTTCTGGTAGACCCATTTGAGTATGGCGTCTCCTTCTCTACCTGAGCTGACTGAGGATTGAAAACCTTGTCATGCAGTCGGCAAGCATCCTTGTGGAACTTGGCTGCACACCGAATACTCATCACAGCGTCTCCCAGGCGTGACCGTGATGAATCCCTGAGCATCTAAGGCTTCCAATGGTGTCCTATTAGGTGCAACATATGCTCTTAGGCACACACTTCACCATTTGCAGGATGCCAAATGACCCAGTGAGCAACTCTGCCACGAGGGATGTAAAGAGGAGCCAAACAAATGGCGACACCTTCACAACACAACCCTTCGAGGTGTCATCCTCAACGGCTCAATGCAAATCCACGATGCGGTAGTAACCTTCTGCTTGGCTGTCTTGTTACGACTTGATTTCTTCTGTGATTCATGAATGGGACTATTACTTCCGACCAAGTGATCAATGTCAAGCGGCCGTCTTAACGTCCCCCTTAATTAAGTCCTCCCCAACATGCTGACTACGCTTCGCATATTAGCAAAAGTACTCACAGGCCTGGCATTGACTGCTCTGCCGTCAAGTTGCATCTACGCCCGCTTCCGGCTTCAAGATCATGCGCCTCACAAGCAGGTCTAAACACCATTCGTATCTCCCTTGCTCTTTTCCTTTCCACTGAGAACCAAACGTGGGGCTCAGCACGAACTCTGTTGGATAGTGGAAGATTGCATAGGGCCACTCCGCCGTATTGAGCTGACATACAATTCGTGCTTCCACAGCAACAGGGCTGGCAGTGAGCAGGCTGCCTTCGGAAACTGCGCTAGCAACACCTTGGCAAAGCAAACACCCATTGCTAGCGTTCAGCTTTCTGTTTGAGGCCTCAGGATGAGATATGATGAGATCCTTGCCCTCGCAAGGAATAGCAGCTGGTAGACATTGAGTAGTGGCTTCAAGAAGTCCAGCCTCACTGACACACTTCTGATTCGGTTGCCTTCGCAAACTCTTACGCACTGAGATGCAAGCAGCTGAGCTGCAACCTCTGGCTCCAGCTGCAACCTCTCAGCCCGGCTCAACCCTGGCTCACCCCCAAAACATGTTGAGACACGCGTGTGCTACTGCCTGGCGATGATCCAGGACCCGCCAGCGCCCACTGCTAGAACAACCGTCAACAGCCCGGCCCAGATCCCTGTCCACTCCAAGAAGCCTGAAAAAAGCATGGAGCAAGGAGGACAATGCTTTCAACAAACTTTGGCACATGACTTATGATCTCAGCACGCTGCCAAGACCCCCATCCGACCACGGGTTAGGCCTTGCGTTCGGAGCTGTTTACCAGCAAAAAAAAACGACCCAAGCAAGCGCACAAAAATGCGCACACGAATCGGCTAACAATGTAATGCTGGCCGGGCCCTGGTGGAAGCAGGTCGTCGTCCTTTGGCTTCTCTCGCACCATTCACACATTCATACTGCCTAAACCCGGCGGAACCCCGCTAAGCACTGCTAAGCACAGGGCAATGCCAGGCAGATCGGGCAAGTTCACTTCTCGCACCTGCAGCTTGCGCTGCAGCTTGCGCTCTCAAGCCCTCCCCCTGCAAGTGCTAACACCAACAGTTTAACAGTTTAACGGTTTGCTGTTGCTTTCACTTTGCCAGATTCTGCAACGTTTTGGGGTTGCTGAGCCCTGCAGTGTCCTAGGGACAAAAGCTCAGCGGAGGAAAGTCGGCACCCGCTGAACAATCTGCGTGAAATAGGGTCAGGGATGAACGATCTGAAACAAAATAGCGCTGTGCAAACTTTAGGCTTTCGCCATGGAAGTGAGATCAACGTTACGGTGCAGTGCTTTGGTAACTGCAGCTTCATTGCTTTTGGGGCCACTTTTTTTTAAGCCTTCACAAGCGGAGAAGTGGGGCTTGAACAGCCCGAGGGTAGGATGTTGGCACAGAGCAACACGTGCTTGTGCAGATTGGGAGCACTGCAAGCGCAGCCTGCAGGCAGCCTGCAACCTGAAGACATGCTGGCATATGCTGACATTGATCAGGTCCTGTGCAGATATCTCCACGGATGTAAAGCATTTGCTCCCTGACAAGTGCAGAAGGTTTGTGAACAACGTAAAGTTACGTTATCAAATTTCCAGCTAAAGCGGGGCTCACATGCCAGTTTCAAACTGTATTTGACAAAAACTCGGCCCTGATGATAAATGAGACTTGGTCATCCGTGCCATCGCGGCGTGCAAAGGAGTACTTTCACTTCTTTCTGCAGCATCCTACATATTTGCTTGACCGTGCGGTGCATCTGCGTTTACAACACTGAGTCATTGATGCCTGGCCTGCCAAGCATGCTTCAGCATGGAGCAAGTTTCAGCATGCTGAGCATTTGCGCAAGCTTTGAACCATGAACTCACTTTGCCGAGACTTTGGTCAAGCCTTAACCGAAGCGGGAAGCAAACCGGATGAAATGGCGAAGCGTGTCTTGTCTCCACAGCTGTAGGAATTGCAATATCAGAATTCCGAGCTGTTAAAGATCAACTTGCCTTCATCAAGAACAATGCCGACCTTTTTTCGGAAACACCGATTCAATTGAAGGTTGAGGACTTTGGACACCTCAACATACACAAGGTTTTGGAGGGCTGTTGCAACCTCATGTGCGCGGTGTCAAGAACGACATTGGGGGCCCGAAAAGGCCCCATGACGCTCATGATGCTGGCTCATGCGGGGCTGCTGGGCAATGCGCTATGAACCGCAACAAAACGCTCCAAATACACGCAGTGGGCAGTGTTTGTGGTTATAAATGCCAGTGTTAGTCGCACCTGCACTGCATGACAAGCATGAGACAGTTTTGGCGTGCATTGCCCCGGCCAAACGCTATAAACTGTGCATGCTGCATGGTTTGTGTGTTTTGCCCATATGTCCAGCACTTTTTGTGGCTCCTAAGCTAGGATTTGCACCACTTTTAGCTTATCGGATACGTTCAATGTAGCTGCTAATTTGAAAAAATTGCACTTGTGGGCTAAAACATGGGCAGCCTTCACAGAAAATGATGTTCAAAGCTATCTTTGATGGCTTTTCTTGGGTTGTGGACCATTCCTGGTCCCAATAAAGCCAAAATGGGTCGCAATTGTGCTGAAGACGCTGGCATACTGGGGCGGGCGCGCTGGTATGCCAGCATCATCAGCACAATTGGGACCCCATTTTAGGTCGCTTTCAGCTAAACTAAAGACAACAAGACCTGCCAAACAAAAAAACAAAAAAACATGTCGGGTAGCAAGGATGACATTCTTCATACATTCCTCCCGATGAAGAGCATCAGCAGGGCTGGGATGGGCTGGCGTTCACATAGCTGGGTGGGCAGGGGTCCAGCGGCCAGGCCGGCACTTGCCGCCAGGCCCGAAATTTCCTTATCGGACGTGTGTCGGTACGGCTTGCTGCGCTGTTGACCGCTAAACTCGCGTTGGTGTGTTTGAAGGTGTTCGCAGGGCGTTCCAAGTTCAGATGCTGAAGCTGTCCTTTGCGAAGAATCTCACGGCCGCCCTGCCTTGACCTGTGCCTTCAGCTCTCCTTCACCAGCATCCGATCCATCCTGAGCAGCTCGCTTTTTTTTCTTCGCAAACTCCGAAAAGGCCTCCGGTGAAAGAAAAGGCCTCCTCTTCGGAAAAGTCTGGCAGATCGGGCAGGTCTGCCAAGTCAGGCAAGACCTCAAAGGCACAAATCACCTTCCCTTTTTTTATTCCTCGGAAAAGCAGAAAGCAGCTCATGGCCTCTTGGGCATTCCTTGAAGATCCTGAAGCCAAGCGTCGCTGTTTTATCACATGCCCCAAACTGCCCCAACATGGCAAGCAAATGCCATCTCCTGACACGCGTTGCCAATCGTACTGATCATACTCCTCCGACCTTGACTCAAGGCAGAAAAGAGGCGACCTTGACTCTTCTGGGGCCGAGGGCCATGCTCCTTACCCTGCGCCTGCCGGGCCTGGCGGGAGCTTCTGGCGCGATTGGACTGCGAGCGGCCAGCCTTGAGAAAGCGCTGAATATCGTTGAATACTCTTCTGGCATCTGCTGGCAATGCTGGCAGCTTGAGATGGTGCCTGGTGCCCGGCTCCAGGAAGGAAGGCGGTGCAGGTGCCCACGACCAGCACAAACAGCACACCGACCTGAGCACGGTGGGAGGCAAAACACTCCTACACTCTCATGCAAACTGGGCTAGACCTGCCGCCTGGTGAATCCTGCCAAAGCTTTCTGTTCAACTGTCTCAAATAGCTTGAAACCTATCTGCTGTCCTCGCTGTGATATGGAGGAGCGGACATTCATCGCTCTCATCAGCAGTGGCAAGGAAAATTGGGCATGCTGCCTTTTGCCTTGATTCGATGTGCTTCACATGGGAGAGCTGCGAACATGATGCGAGATGCGGATACAAGCCCAGTACGCCTAGGCCGCAGAGCCTCTGAACCAGACAAGAAATAAAAGAAGAACAGCCAGATTGATAGCAGCCGCAGCCGTGTCTGTTTCTAACACCCCAAAGAAGCACAATTTCGCCTTGGGCGCCGTGCCTGAAGGAAGCTTAGGGCCTGAGGCCTGAGGGGGGCCTTGAGTCTTGAGCAGGCTTATGCTGCGAAGCTTTGCTTCGCTCCGCTGCTTAAAGGGGACTCTGGATTCTCTGGATCACTCATCATCGGAGTCCTCAAAGGTGGTGTGTACCTCTCGCTTCAAATTCTTGACAAAGAGCTTTTGCTGATGCCCTTCAAAAGGCCTTCTTGGCCTCCAGTGCTGCCATCTGCTCTGCACTCCTCTGCAAGCACATCTTGAGCGCCGTCTGAATCCTACCTTCTGAGGCAGGCGGCTTGAAGTGCGCTCCAAAGAGAGGATGAGCCTGGCACAGCACAATTCCCTGCCACTATGCTCTTACCGACAAATGAGCGCGGAAGCCTTCTTTTTTGTAGCCTTATTGCCACCAGATGTGCCAGCTATGCTCTCCAGCTCCTCCACTACAGACAAATGAGAAAGTGTGTTTAAATTGCAGGAAAGCCTTGGGGACTTCTTGGGATGCGTCGCGAAGGACTTTGCAGAGGTCACCCGCATGTGCCTCCCAGAGCCCAGGACTCAGATCTCACCCCGTTCCCTCCCGTTCCCTCCCGTTCCCTCCCACTGCCTTCTCATCCTGGGCACCTTTGGACTCCGGGCAGAAGAAGCAAATTGCTAGACCTTCCGAATTCCCCATTCTCAGACTTGTCACAACGACACACAGCTGTCCTTTCTTCCCCGCACGTCCCGTGCGGCCAATGCGGTGCACGTAGTCCTGGGAGCTTTGTCGAAAACGCAGATTTCCTGATGTCTTTTGTTGCTTCATTAAGTACATTGTTTTTGTGCAGCCTTTGCGGTGTGACAGCTCGACTATCCTGCGAGCGTGGTCGATGTTGGACCTCTACGCCACTCACAAATATTGAAAGTGTTACCTAATCACTAGAAATGGCCACGTCTTGTTGGCCATCTCCATAACTGGCATTGTTTTCGGAGTCCTCATCACTCAGCTGTTGCAAGGGTCATGGTGGAAGACCTGTAACAATCATAAACGGCTCGAGAACAGCTATGTCGGGGGCCGCTGGGCAGGGGCCAACGTCGCGAAGAGCGCAAATGCGCCCCCAGCATGCTTATAGAAGTATTTGTTGAGCAAAGGTTTGATGTAAACTGACAGGTTAAGAACGTCAAACGTGCAGAAGGGTTGTGGGTCTCGATTCACTGCCACACATCAGATACCCAAACGGAGACAAGCACATCAAAGCGCAATGCTTTGTACAGCTGCATGTTCTGTTTCCGGGAGACCCCAGAAAGCTAATGGAAATGAAGGGTTTCATCCATCGCTTAGCATGTTAGTGCTTGAACCAGGGATTGGGGACCGGTATACAGAAATGGAAAATTCAATTCAAAGAAATGTGTTCAGAAGTGAGATTTCGGTTAAGTTCCGAATAATCGTATGTATTGAATGTAATGCCTGTCTCAACCAATCTGATTTGAAAATTGAGAGGGCAAATCTGATGATGTAATTACAGATTCCCTACATGTCTTAATCAAACCTTTGTTGCATTACATTGTTGTTGTAAAGGCAATTACGTGGAACCTGATCCTGTTTCTTCATAACTGAAGCCTTGTTCCGCTGAAAAGGGCTCTGATTTTGCCGGGCTCACCCTACATTCAGTTTTGACATCTACATACCACACGTTGCATTGTCCAGCTGTTGTCGCAGAGCTTTGCGTCTCCCACCAAAATGTGTGAAACCGCATTTAAAATTTGTGTGTTGATGCAACCTGAAGTGCAAAATGCACGTGCATGTATTCCTAGGCGGCTCAAAGCAGGATCGAGACCGCAAGGTTTTGAGGCTTCGGCTGAGAAGACTACCAAGGAGACTGTAAATGCACGGAATTTCTGTGGCATGGCCTGCGAAGTGGCCAGGCCCTCGCCTTTGAAAGCAGTCCAAGATATCGGGGTTGGCTGATTTCCCGCTTCGCAGCAAAAAATCATGTACAAGGAACTTTTACATATAATGCGATGATTGTGCTCCGGTGCGTGAAAGGGAGGTTGGAGTAGTTCGAAGAGTTTGGGGCTCCGCCTGGGGGCTGTTCTATTCCAAGTATTCAACTGGGGGTTTCGGGAAGGTGCTTCATGAGAAATTTTCCAATTATTTCGATCTATCCAAACCAAGGTCGTTTGTCTTGTGCTCTTGGGTTGCGGCTTCCAGGATTCCGGCTTTAGGTTTGCAAAACGCAGGGCTTGGGGTGCTGGAGCACTGCTGCATGCACCTACCACTTTCACATGCACCTACCGCTGACCCTCCTGCTCTGCTGCCCCGCCGTAGAGGCGAGCGCATGTGCTAGCGATTGCACTGAGACGTACTGCATGCATTGCAAAATCATGCTTGAAACACTTTGCACTCTGCTGTTGCAGCTGCTGCAGTATCATTGATGTAGGCAGGTCAGACACTGCACCTGACACCCGAAAGCACGACCAGTGCAACGACCCAATCTACTTCAAAGCTCAAAGCACATGCAACATGTTGACCGGAGACAAGTTGGTCTATTCTTACAACCCTCTTCCCTCCTCGATGGTCAACGGAAACGTGTAGTTGATGACAAGCTCAACATCCTCTCATACTTGCGTTCCATCTGTGGGGAACGCTTTGCAACTGGCTGTTGAACAGGCATGGAATTCTGCAGGAGTCCTGGACATCGAGTCCTCGACTGGCGACGTCCGTGGCGATAAGTGGCGTCCTTGGCTTTCAATGAGGTGGCTTGCGGTCAAACTGCCATTGGGCACTGCCATTACATCCCAGCAGCTTCTTGGTTTCTTTGAAGTCTGCGATTGCCTCAACCGCAGGGCCATCAGGAGGAGCTCATGGGCACAGTGCCAACGTGCCTGAGTTCTCTTTTCCTGCGACATGTCCTGTCAAGTTGCTGTAAGTCATCTTCTGGGAGCGATTCTGTCTCTCCTGGGGCAACCGCTCCCTGCAGAGCAATGACCTTCTCATAGCCTTTCTCCCACCTGAAAAAGAAAAAGAAAAGAGAAGATTTGCTTTCGCTCAGCAAACGAAAGGAGATTACGACCTCTCTGCCACGCTCGAGTGAAGCTCGTAAGGCAAAGGCAAAAAGTTCTCCAACCAAGCCGTCTCCTCGAAAACAGCGGGGCCCGGCTTCGGGCCCCACAAACAAATCAATAATCAATAACTTCTCAATAAATCAAAGTATAATTCAATAATCTATCCATGCTTACTGTTGACCTACATTTATTGTAGGGTTCTAATTGTTAAGTGCGTCGTCCGGCACCCGCAGCGTGCTCTTCCGTCGCGCAAACATTTTGGACGCGTTGATGTGAACTTATAAATTGCGCTCTCGCTCGAGACGTCCTCATTTCGGCGAATGTTGTGATGTTGTGTCTGGGAGGCCAGATTGCCTTTACTTTAGTCTTGCTCGGGGGGGTCGAAACGAACTGGACGACCCCCCGATGTTCACTTAATCATCAAAAATCGCGCTCTCGCTCGAGACATCCTCAAAGAATCGCGTGTTTTTTTTTGACTTTTTTGGACGTTATAAAACATCAAAATTGCGCACTTTCGTCGAACAGTCGGCTTTTTTGGAGCCTCTGCTCTTTTTTTATCTTCAACATATTTTCAAAGATCGCGCTATCGCTCGAGACGTCCTCAAAATTTCGTTGATTTTATATCGGTTTTATCTTCGTGTAAATCGATCAAAATTGCGCTCCCGCGCGGAGCGTCATCGAAATTTTGAAGATTATCTGAAAAAATCGCGCTCCCGCTCGAGACGTCCTCGAAATTTCGTCGATTTATCTTCCCAAGAGGGAGGTTCTTGGGGGAGCGTTTTGGTATAGGATTGGCATAGGATTCGTCGGATTCATCGTTCAAATTTTGATCGTTTAAGGAACGATTTCTAT